AAAAGAGCTGATGAACTCAACCTGTTCCTCCACTGCTGTCACACCCACTTCCACTGCTACTCCACCTTCCTCTCTGCAACAAATCTCCACTACAACTTCTCCCCTTCCTCCTCCATCTTGTTCAAATGTCTCAACTGCCTCCTTCCTAGACCACCAGTCCTTGTCTGTCACAGAAACAGTGGTGAGGATGGAGCTTGGAAGACTTTGTCCTGGGAAGGCAGCTGGTCCAGATGGTGTGTGTCCAAGGCTGCTTAGAGACTGTGCTACAGAACTGTGTCAACCTCTCCACAAGGTCTTCAACCTGAGTCTACAGCTGGGGCGGGTACCTGCTCTGTGGAAAACATCCTGCATTGTGCCAGTACCAAAAACAAAATGTCCTGCTGAACTCAATGATTACAGACCAGTCGCCCTCACTTCACACATCATGAAAACCCTGGAGTGGCTGATTCTATGCCTTCTGAGGTCTGAGGTCAAAGACAAACTGGATTCCCTGCAGTTTGCATACAAAGAACACACTGGAGTGGATGATGCTGTCCTCTACATGCTTCACCATGCCCTGTCTCATCTGGAGGAACCTGGGGTTTATGTGAGGATCATGTTCTTCGACTTTTCAAGTGCATTCAACACTATCCAACCCACCATACTCAAAGACAAGCTCACAGAGATGGGAGTGGATCCTGCCTGTGTTTCCTGGATCACAGATTACCTGACAGGAGGGCCACAGTTTGTCAGGCTGGGCAACTGTGTTTCTGGGACATTAATGAGCAGTACAGGGGCTCCACAAGGGACAGTGCTGGCGCCATTCCTGTTAACACCGTATACATCAGACTTCAAATACAGTACTGAGTCCTGCCACATCCAGAAATACTCAGATGACACCGCTATCATGGCATGTATCAGAAATGAACAAGAAGCTGAGTACAGAGGTCTGATAAGAGTGTGGTGAGATGCCTCCTCCTTCTGTTTTATTTTGGCTGGACTTCCTGTGTTTCCGTGTTTGTCTGGTTGGCTTGACTTTCTTCCAGAGCTCCCCCAGTCGCTGAGGCAGAGTGAGACTACACACCTGCTCTACATCTGCAATCAAGGCACTTCAAGAAGCCAGCAGCCCTCAGTCTCAGCGCCTGAGTATTGTCTTCACTTCCATGTGGTATAGACGCGTCTCCTGGCCTCCTTTCTTTGAATTTGAATTCGTAACTCTGATCCTGATTCATTGTATGCTCACTCACTTCCCTCTCCTCTGGTTCTTCCTGCAGTGTCTCCAGCCCACACAACAGCCAGCCAACCAGCCTACCGGACTTCCTCTTTTTGCCTTTAAAACCTGAGTTTGGACATTAAAATTACACCTTAAGTTGATCTCTGTCTCTGTCTCTGCTTCTGGGTCCTCACAACTCACCAGTCACGCCACAAAGAGCCTTCAGTGACTGGAGTCACAACAACTGCCTCCTCCTCAACACCTCAAGGACAAAGGAGACGGTCTTAGACTTCCGTAGATCTAAACCCCCTCTTCAGCCAGTGAACACCTGTGGAGTGGACATCGCAGTGGTGACATCATATAAACATCGAGGTGTACACCTGGATACTAAGTTTGATTGGTCTAAGAATATAGACTTCATCTACAAAAAGGCGCAGAGCCGCCTCTTTTGCCTGAGAAGACTCCAATCAGTAGACATCTGTAGTAAGATGCTGCAGACGTTTTATCAGTCTGTGGTGGCAAGTGTTCTGTTCTACGCTGCAGTCTGCTGGGGAGGAAACATCAAACACTAAGATGTGAGACCTCTCAACAAACTGGTGAAAAAAAGCTGGCTCTGTGGTTGGATTCAAGTTGGACTCAGTGGAGGATATGGTGGAGAGATGTACACTGGGGAAGGTGGAAACTATTCTCAAGAACATGGATCACCCACTTCACAACACCTTGATGGACCAAAGGGCCAATGGTGTTGGACAGCTCCTCTCTCCTCGCTGCAGGACAGAAAGATTCAGAAGATCTTTTGTACCCACAGCCATCAGACTTTACAACTCTTCTATAAATAGTAGATGATTTTTTGAGACATGACAACTATACTAAAGACAATTGAATTTCCCTTCAGGAGAAGTTATTCTTATTCTTAAAATCTTATTCTTAAAATGTACTTTAAAAGACACAGGTAGCCAATGCAGAGATTTTAAAATTAGTGTGATGTGGGCTCTCTTTCCAGTCTTCGTCAGCATGTGTGCAGCTGAAGGAGCTGAAATTTGAGATGGCATTGTGAGATTCGTTTTTATTCAGACAAACAAAAAGACTCTCTTAGTGAGTTTATCTTGCACTTGATTTCTTAACTTGTGATGTTCAGTCAATGCAGTATGTCTTTTTCACTCATGGCCAAACTAGTGTGTAAACTAGTATACTAGTGTCCTATCAGCTGAGCACTTGATGGTGCATTCATATTCCAGCCAACTCTACGGGCTCTATTTTGGTGCCTCGCCGAAGATGTGCCGCAAGCGCAGCGTCAATCAGATCCGCCGCGCTGACAAGGCGTTCCCAAGCACATTTTGGTATTTTGGTGAGCCGCGCAGCCCGGCGTAAGTATCCCCCCTCCCTAACTCAGCTCCTCCCGGCAGCATAAGTCATAGAGAGGGCGTGGAGTCAGTTTAACACAGCCGAGACCTGTTTTCACCAATCACATAAGCTCCTCTCCTTGCCTTTAAATCCGCCACCGGCGAGGCGTATTACTATTTCCATGAAGTAGTCAAAGAGATCAAGAGATGTCTGAAGACAGTTATGCCACACGATGGCGACAGAGGGCAGCTGCTCAACAAGTGTCCTCCACACTCTCTCATCTGAGCACAGATGGATTTGGTGTGCGTAATGTTGGACCCACTGGTAAGACAAACACCCTTTTCCACAAAAAAGACACTCACACAAAGTTGCATATATTCAAACCTCACGTGACAAAGGTGGGTTTAGCGCACAGATCACAACATAAACTCCAAAAATGGCATTAAAATCGGAACCATCTGTGCGTAAATGACGCATCGCGCTCCGTGGCCTGGCTCTTTCTTTCATAGATGTTGGCATATAAAATAAATTTGGCCCACAAAACTGAATATTATAATATCCGTATGTCGGCTTAAAGAAGATCACGCATCTGAGCACTGAAACAAATCATCTGTTCAGCCGCAGCAGCTGCAGCAAGACGGACAGAGGACACGGAGACGTGTCCAGGTCGAGCTCTGCGAGAAATAAGAGGAAGAAAGAAAAGGAGGGAGACACATTACATATCTTGTTAACTTCATCATGTGTGTTTATTTACTAGATATTTAATTTAATTTGATGCAGTTTCAGCTGTATTGATTCGGTCAGGTTGTGTGCCCAAACGCGTGCCAAACGCGTGCCAAACGCGCTCATCAGATCAGATATAGATCAGAATATATCGATATAGATCTAAATGTATGTGCTGACTCAGATTAATAGTTGATGATGATTATTTATTGCACTGAAATCTGCCTGACACTGTGGAAACCTGCCGGTGAGGCATCGGTGACGTATGTCGATACGCCGCCGGTCTACCAAAATACTACTAGACCAGCTGCGTTCCGCCTTGCGCTGAAAGCTGACCAGGTTTGAATCGGCGAGCTTTCAGCGCACGTTACACGCCGGTGGCGAGCACGAAAATGTCACTGCGCCAGCTGATTCTGTCAACACCTCCCCCTGCCACGCCACCACGCCCAGCTTGGCGGATCTCGGCTCGCCTCCGTGCGACTCAGTCCACGAAAATACCAAACTCGCCTTACACCGGGCTCCGCCAGACGAAAATACAACTGCGCGGGGCTCGCCGCCCTCTGCTGCCTCACCGGCGCGAACGAAAATAGAGCCCTACATCTCAGTTTACATTTAGAAATCTTTGCCTCAGCTGAGATGACATGTCCTAATATTAAAACCAACTGCCAGTTGCACTTAGAGCTTATCATAAGTTATTATGACTGGTTGTTCGTATGGTGCAGCAACAGAAAGCATCAGGAAAAACACTCTGAAACTAAGGTTGTGGGGGCTGCCTTTGCCTTTTTGGACACAGGCCTTTAACTTGTGTACCCATGACATAGGCAGAAAGTGTATCATAACTCAAGGTTTTGAATTTGGCAACTGTCCCGTGCTATTTTTCAGTGATATATGGAAATGTGATCAAACTTATTACAACAAGATGAATAATCAAGAAAAAAAAATGCTGATGCGCCTACACTCAACATGTCCAAATCGGTGGGGGCAGAATGTACAAAATGTTTTGAAAAGTTAAACCTTTCAAAGCTAAAGTCCCTTTTTTGATTTTTTTTCTTCTCATTTTTGGAAACATCTGTATTGTATTTATTGCTTTTATTTTGCTTATTTTTGATATCCACATGAAACAATGTACAAACAAAAAGAAATTAAGGTCAAAATTAACCTCAAGCACCTTAGACAGGTAATTTTCTCTGATGGTATTCGGTCAACTTTTTCTTGTTCATTGGAGATATATTCAGCTTCTGCTTCAAAACAACAGTTATTACTCTCATTATGTTCTTTTATGGCTATAAAAAAGACAAGCATACTATATGTATCACTATTTTATGTTATATTTATTGAACAAAACATTTACTCACACAATTTACTTATCCTAAAACTGTTTAGGTAAATAAAGCACTACTCAGAATCCTAATTAATTCATTATCATCATATGCAATACTGAGTCAGATATTTAAAAAGTAACATCCTTCCAAATCAGATATTTTATGAAAGAAAGCTAGTATAAATAACAGGAATATACACATGGCTTATGAAATAAGTTTCCTTGTTTGGCTACTTAAAATTACTGCACTGGAAGGATACTGTAGCTGGCATTAACAGCAAAAGAACAAAACTGGCAAGTGTAAATTAAACAGTGAACTTCTCTCCTGATGCACACAAACTGAGTGATAAGTTGGTTAGTTACATGTATATACATTGATTCTGGACTTAAGCGGTTGACGTCTGGAGATTCTCATGGGAGTCAGTCACCATCAGAATCCTTGATATTGAGGCCGAGCATGTTGGTGAGGCTCAGTGACAATTTATCATTTTCATCTGGTGTGGAAATTCCTGGGGCTACAACGCTGAGAATTGGGTCTGGTTTTTCTATTTTGAATGTACTTCCTCTCACCAAAGAGGAATCTGCTTCTCCTACAGAGGTGCCAACATCAAGACCTGCAGAGGGAAGCTTCAGATCAATTTCCCCTTTTGAATCAGTTGGTGAGGTGCTGGCTGAAGAGACTTTTTCCATTGCCATCTTTAATCTCTCAAAAACATCAACTTTTTCTCCCGTCTTTGAGGTTGTATTTACTATCGGCAAGCGAACTCCTTTGCTGATGACATAATCCTTTTCTTCTGTGTCAAGGTTTGGTAAACCTAAAGTATCATCGCCATCTACTGAGCCATCTATAGAGCTGTTCCTGGGCAGTTTGTGGAATTTGAATGCAGGAACCCCTGATCCAACATTGGGTCCATCGGTTTCAGATTTTACTTCAATTCCTTCCTCTGCACCTGAAACCGACTTTCGGCCCCATTTGAAGGGCCATATCCCCTTACTTTTTGAAGATCCTTTGAGTTCAGCATCTGCATCAGCTGAGACACCTAGGCTAGGACCAGAGATGTCAACACCAGGTGGTCTGATTTCTCCATCAACATTTGGAGCGTTCAGCGTCACATCAGGAGAGACTTCCAGATCTACAGCTGTATCAACATCTGCAGCTTTTACACTGGATCCTGACAAGTTAAACTTAGGGAACTTGAAATGTGGCAATTTTGACTTTTCCATATTTGCATCTACATTTGGAGCTTTCAGATCTACTGTGGGTCCTCCAATATCTGCATCTACTTTTGGTCCACTGATGTCTACAGCAGGAATTGAGATGCTGGTGTCTGCTGTAGGAGCAGCTATGTTGACTTGTGGTGCATTGACCTCAGCATTGACTGATGGAACTTCCACTTTAGGATCTGGTGATCCAAATTTTGGTAGCTTGAAATGGGGAAATTTAAAGTCACCAAGACTTGAATCAACGTCAAGATCTGGGGTTTTTAGCTGTGCATCAGGTGCTTTGAGGTCTGCTGTAGGCAGATCCAGACTGGGGCTCTTAACACCAGCTTTTGGCAAATTTAAGTCAATTTTTGGTAAACTATAGTCAGATTTGGGGGCTTTGAGGTCAACATTTGGGTTGAGATCAGTGTTCAGAGTACCGATTTCTCCCTTGATTGTGGGGGCAGAAAAATTCAAGCCAGGTGTTTCAACACCAGGAACTGCGAGATCAGGGGTATTCAGCTCTGCATCAGGCAACTGAGCCTTTGGCCCTCCAATGCTCCAGCTTGGCAGTTTAAACCCAGGCTTTTTTCCAGAAACTTCAAGATCTGGGGTGTCTATACCACCTTTGACTTTTGGTCCTGATAGGGACAGATCTGATGGGTTTAACTCTATGCCATGTCTAGGTGCATCGATATCAGCTTTGGGTAAGCCAATGTTTGGTGCATCTATTTCAGTATCCACATCAGGACCTTTGATTTTGGCTCCCATGAATTTTGGTAGTTTGATTTTAGGTAACTTAAGTTTACTTTCTGGTGAGTCAAGGCTGAGATTTGGACCATCAACATCAACATTTGGACCTCTTATATTGGCATCAGGCAACTCCACATCAGGGGTCTTGACATCTAATTTTGGTGCAGCCACATCAGCATTGGCCTTTGGACCCCTCAGTGTGCCAATTTTGGGTAGTTTAAACCCTTTGAATTTCCCAAATGGACCTTCAACATCTGGAGCATTGATATCTAGGCCTGCATCTGGTGCTTCCACTTCACCATCAATCTTTGGAGCTTTGAAACTCATGTCAGGAGTGGAACCACTAGCATCTAGATTGACATCTGGACCATCAACCTTTGGACCTGAGAGTGACCACTTTGGTTTTTTAAGAGTTGAAATTTTGAACTTTCCAGATGGAGCCTCAATTTCTGCATTTGGTGCCTTTACATCTACACCAGGAACATCAACAATCGGAGTAGGGAGACTCAAGTCAGGTCCCTTTGCATCGCAGTTCATGTCAACATCTGGTGAATTGACCTTTGGCCCTGAAAACATGAACTTGGACTTTCTGAGGGTTGGGAACTTGAGTTTGCCTGAGGGGGTCTCAACATCAGCATCTGGAACTTCAATGTCAACGTTGGGTAGATTCCCATCTGGTCCATTGACCTTGAGATCACAGTCATGTGCACTCAGGTCTGCATTCAAATCTGCTTTGGGACCATGAAGTCTAGGTTTTTTCCACTTCTTCTGAAACCAGGGGAACCTCACAGATGGTTCAAGATTTGGACCATCAATATCTAGATCATGGCCTTTAAGCTCAGGTCCATTAATCTCACCATCAATTTTTGGGGAAGAAAGATTCAAATCTGGCTTTTCAGCATTTATGTCTACATCTGGGCCATGAACTTTAGGCTTCTTCCAGTTCCAAGGAAGCCAGTCCCACTTTCCAGATGGAGACTCTGCATCAATATTTGGGGCTTGCATGTCTAGATGAGGACCTTTGAGGTCAACATTTGGGGCATTTATTTCACCCTCCACTTTTGGAACACAGACATCCAATTCTGGGGTATTCAGATTTGGATCTATGTCCAGATCAGCTTTTGGGGTCTGGAGTTTGGCTTTTTTCATCTTCCAAGGCAAGTGAAATTTACCATGTGTGTGGCCAGTGTCAAGATTGGGGCCTTTAACATCTACATCAGGGCCTTCAATGTTTGCTTTTGGGAGGTTGATATCTACATTTGGTGCCTTTAGATCCCCATCAATCTTTGGTGTTGATAGGTTGACATCAGATGATTGCAGGTCTGCATTTGGACCTTTTATCTTGGGGCCTTTCCATGTATGAAGCCACTTTCTTTTGCCTGAGGGTGCCTCGAAATCAACGTTTTGGGTTTCTAACTTAACATCAGGGTTTTTTAGACCCAATTCTGGTAATTCTGGGCCAGACACAGAGAGACCAGAGGTGTTCAGATCTGTGTCTGCTTTCAGGGAACTGGTTTTTGATGCATTGAAGACTGGCATGGAGAATTTTGGAGCTTTGAATTTGTTGTCCCCTGTTTTGATTTCTGGCTTTGCAATGTCAACAGAGGAAGTGTTGAGCTGTGGTGTTGAGACGCTGACTCTTGGAGCTTTGAGGGTCCCATCTAGATCTCCCTTTACATCTGGCCCATTTACTGCAAGGGAAGGCAAAGCAAAACTGGCCCCAGTGTCAGCTGAGGAATTATTTAGATTGAGACTGGGAAGGTCCCCGTTTAGAGCAGGACCACTGATTTCACCCCCCAACCCTTGCCCAGTGGCTATATTTCCATCCAGCCCATTTAAGGAAACAACAGGAGCCTTAGTCTGTGTGTCTAGAGGGAGATCCTTCTTTAGGCCGAGCATCTGTTGGTGAAAATGAAAAAACAAAGTGGATTTTAAAACTTGTATGGAAGCAGATCTTGAGTCAGAATTTACCTGTATACTCATTATTTCTGGATATGATCAATAAAGGGGCAGATGGTTGTTGTAACAGTTAGAAGGGTTTTAGATGGTGGTATGTTAAAACAGGATAAATATAAATATATATTTATAATATAAATATGTTTTTTTTTCCAAAAATTCTGTGCATGTTTTCTTCCTAATCTGTTGTAAAGAACTGTTTTTATGCTTCAATATACAGTTTAGTTGATTTAGGACAAGGTTTCCTACACTCCAAGAAATCTACTGTAAAAGGGATACTGAACAGGGATTAACTCATCCCACCCAACTCTTCATGTCCACTTTTCCCCTCCTACTTATACCTCCCAACTTGAGCCCTCATTTTTGGCACCCCAATCCAGTCCTTTCTGTAACTGGACCTACAGTAGCCTACATCACAATAACGTTTTTAGCTGCCATGAAAGTCACAGACCAGCGCGTCAGTTGGTGCTGATCAGCCGATCAAATTTTTTGCAACTATTAGCGATGCAATTGACACAGATATAAACACACCCTGAGGAGCTGAGGAATGGACCAACTCTTATAATTCCCATTTGAAGTTTAAACCAGTGTGCCTATAGTGACTCGTATCACATTAAAATTGGACTAGATCCCCATATATTTGATCTATCAGATTCCAGAGACGATCATTAACTGACAACAGACAAATGTTCCCTCCAAGGTGTGCACATTAGGAGCCAAGTTAAAAATCTTAAGGCTGCCTCATACCAGCCTAGGTTGAAAATTTTAACTTAACAAGCTAAAACCGTCTCTCACTAAACAAGAGGAAATGTAGCCTTTGCTCTCAACATTTTCTCTTACCAAACCTCTTAGGGCCTGATCCACTAAAGGTTTGCATGTACAGAAACCTGTGCAAACATGATAGTGTGTGCAAAACTGATTGACTAACTGGGTGCAACAAGGATTGTGTCTGTCGAAGAAGCAAAGTACCACCTGCAATCCATTTAGCGTGTTGTATGCAGAATGTATGCAGAGTATCACAACACAAAAAATACTGGGAGGAGGAGATGCAAATACAAGCACCATCAGTTTTATTTGCAGAGGTTAGATTAAAAGAAAGTTTTATCCGTGAATATTTTGCTGTCTTTTTAATTAATCAGTAGATCATTTGATTTTGCTCACAGCATTCACCTTTTCACAGATGGCCTCCCAAATCGTGTTTCTTCTTCAGATATCTCTGCTGGAGTTAACCAGTGAGTTTATTTGCCTCCTCCACCAAGACCCCCAACTTTGTGGCCGTGAACTTCATTTTTTGTTTACGGTCACTCTGCTCTCCCAAACTCTCCATGGTGACAGCCGGTAGCGCATGCAAAATCCCCATTTACATTGAGTGGTATGCATCACTTTTGCACCTGTTATCACTTGCGCTCACAATCAGCGAGTTTTTTGGGACCTTAGCAGATCATGCCCAAAGACTTTTAACTGAATACCCCTGTTTCAGTATTTTTGTGATTACCTACTTTTATACAGTTTCATGGTGTTGTTGGTGAAATACTATCTTTAGCTGCTTTTAGCAGCATAAATGTGATGTTATTCCTCTCCTTTGCATTTGGGTGGAGTCAGGAATCCCATTATGACGCCATTTAAACACATATTTATAATCAGAAATGCCACTGGATGTTTCAAGCATGGCTGAACCACCTCATGTCATATACCTCTGCAGGTTCTTTGAGATCCAAGCCTAAGGAGCCAAGGCCAGCACTGGCATTGAACTCCTTCTTGGTCACAACCTTCATGTTGTTGTCATAAGGCTCCAGGACCTTCAGGATGTTCAACACTTCATTTTTGTTAAGGTGATCCAGGTGGATGGTCGCTGCAACAATTTCATCACCTACAACAAAAGGGAGAACTCATCAGTGCCAGCACATTTAAGCTTATACTCTTTCTACATACTCTATAGATATTTTAATGGTTGTGAAAAATGAAAGAGATGTTAATGGTCATTTTGTTACCTGCTTGTAGACCACTCTTTGCAGCAATGTTGTCATCTGTGATTCCTGCAATGACGACTCCACCCTCGGCATCATCCAGGACAAGGCTTTCTGAAATACCTCTGTTTCTTTCTCCACTCTGTGTTGAAGAGTTATAGGGGAAAAAAGAGAAATTATGGCACCACTTTCAAACTCTTTCACTGGGTCTTATTTCACATCTTTTTAATCTCATACATATGGCTAAAGGACTGTTCTCATTTTTTCATACTCACCATAGTTTATCAGGTTTATTTACATCCACATATCCTGCAATTTGTGCCAAAGAACGAAGATCAAAACTTGAAAACCCCAGTCACAGCTATCTGTAAAACAGCAGAAAAAGACATTATAGTCATCCGCTAAAAGTGAAACACGCCAAACTTTGTGTCTGACCTGGATGATGTCATAAATATCATGTTTTACTGTTTTTAAGGTCATTTTGAACTGTTATATTCTAAACTCATTCTCAATAAAAGATTTGAGCCCAATATTATTGAAAGCTATTTTAACCATCTGTTAAAGAGACACTCACATGCTCATTTGGATGCTAGTCTCTCAAAGTTTGAAGTGTGTCTTTTATTGTTTATATAGAAATTGCAGAAGTGAATAAAGACAAATGAGGATAACGTTTGAACCACTAGATAGGGGACAGCTTCAAAAATAGGTCCATCTTTTTGCATAATGTCTTCAGTTTACATAGAAGCTGACGTATAATCCTCATACTTGTTTTCACAGTTTCAGCTGTATCTGTCCATAAGTTCACAACTTATGGTGTGTTATCCTCTTCATAATAACCTGCTGTAAAGCTGTAAAATTCATTCTTAGTATTTGGCTCCAGGTAACAGCCTTCATACCCACAAGAGGTCATCAAACCAAAGAAGCACCATCAGGAGTCACAGTAAGTCAAAGCATCACATCCATTCGCTGTCTCTCGCTTTCTCTGGGGGTCAGCTCATCCCCTCACCCAAACGTCTCAACCTGTGGGAGTTTCTCCACCTGCCATCAGCCGCCCTTACATTTTCAGGGGGAGAAACAGAAACAGCAACGCCCACGCACCGTCTAACCTCACACTTAAGGAATTCAAAGCCTCTGCCAGGTTTGTTCAGAAGAATGCATGCATCGAAACCAGTCAGTCTGGATGCATTCTGACAGACATGCCAGTCTGTGCAGGACACACACACACGCACGCACCCCCTCACGCACACACACACACACACACACACACACACACACACAATCCCTCCCTTTGCCACACCCCAATGTAATCCCTGCTAACTAAATGTATCACAGTTGCATAAATAAATACAGCTAAGGCTTTCAATCAGGGGGGCATTAAGAGTGAATTAAGGATGTTTTCTTGCTTTACGAGCTAATTTGGTCTTTTAGTAGACAAATAAATGAGCAGCCATAAATTAGATACAACAGCTGAGCTCATGTCAAGTCACATGTCACAGATATGCTAAATGTTTATAGACTGAGGCATAGAAAGAGTGAGATCTTAAAGTGTCAGACAGCTGTGATTGTAATACCTTTGCACAAACATCACCATTCTCACAGAAATAAAAGTGAAAAAATTACATAACTGTGACTGGCTTAGGTGCCGAACTAGTAATTACCATCAATTCAACGTCAATAGGAAAGAGTTATCTTCAAAGTAATTAGAGTGGTGTGGTTGACAGGTGTATCCTCTAAAACAGGGCGGCAGCATCAGCAGGGTGTGAGTCAGATGACAGCAGTTAGGTATGTCCTCATCATGACAAACAGCACAACATTTGAACAGCACTTTTTATCAGAAACAGAAGATTTAAGACCAAATCCTACACAGCTCTTTGATTAGCATAGAGTTTGTGTTTTATTCTGAGGCCTCACCAGCTGTCAACACCAAAGAGTTAAAGCCATTTACTCGAGTGACTTCTCTGAAGCTAAGATTTCTGGTTTTTATGATTGTGTCATGACGCACCAAAACTCCAAGTTGAAAACCTCACTTTTTGGATACTTTAAAAAAAGTAGCTTGATCTTCCAATGTACACCAAGAATTAAAACTTTAAACCTTTGCAGCTTATGTGTCTGTTTAAACCCTGACTATAACCTTGCAGAACATCTCATTCACAAGACATACAAATATCTTTTTTTTTTAAATGAAACGTGAAACATCAGGTTTCACTTTACCTCAGTAAATCAAGCCTTTTTAAGAGGGCCGCAACCTCAACAGAAGTACCAGTGTAAATATGACAGGGCGTAAAACTACATCTGTGATGCATAAGCTTTCATTAGACTGGATCAATTTGCTGAAGCATATAATCATATACAGTATAAATAGATAATCCCATATCAGAGTTTCATATTCACTCAAAAGAAGCCAATGGCCAGTGTGTGATGCACTCACTCTTTTCTGCTGCGGGGACTCCTCCAGCCGAGGTGAAGCAGTATCAGAGATGTGTCTTCCCAGGGAATCACTGCTGTTCTGTCAGACAAGTCGAGAGGGATCAGCCAGTTAAAGCTCAGAGCTAACCTGGAGAACAGGTTATGCAGCATCAGCACCACCTCTCATATGCCCCCTGACGACACACACACGCACACACACACACACACGCCTTGACTTATGTCGCAGAGAGTGACTCGCAGGCTTTTTGGCAGCCGAAACCTGAATAAAGCGCAAGGCAGATCCACACCACTCCTTAACAGGACTAACCAGGTTTACAAAGAAACAAACTGCAGCAACAATGTGCCACACTCAATACGTTTCACATTTCACACTTCACACTTCATTACATCCACTTTAACATCTGTGTGTTTGCTGTTTAACTCATATTTTGAAACTTATATCACCGTTTGACACCGGAATCTGAATCAGACCGAGAGGGTTTACACTGAAGAGGAATATGTCTCTGTTTTGGTGAAGGAACAATAAACAAAACATAGGAAAAAAAGTTAAAAGGGGATCTACAAGCAGTCCTCCTACTGTTAAGTAACTTGAATAGAAGACAGCAATATCAGAAGCAGTGTAGGGTTATATAAGCATATAAACATGTACAGCTGTGCAAGGAGGAACAAAATGTTGGTGGGTGCTAAAATCCAATACTGTAAACTTCAGTGTGCAATTTAAGATTATACTAGCATCCTGTGTGTTACACATTAGTTTAAACGACCAGTCAGTGCATCCAAACATGAGGTTACTTTGATATTTTAGATGGTTAATTATAGGATCTACTGCATGACTTTACAATGATGCATGCATACATATACTTTAAATTTCCTTGAGGGAATCTCCCCAAAAGGATAAATAAAGTTGTATCTACAGATGATACAGATGCTGCAAAAAGAGTAGGATTTACACATTCAACTACAATATTGTTCAGAGTATCTGGAGGAATCTCCATACAAAGGCTGAAAACCAATACAGGATGGCTTTAATCTTCAATCCCTCAGGCTGTGCCACAAATAAGACATGTGTCTGTGGTGGAAATCCCTGCATGGGCCAAAATTACTGTCACTGAATATAGTGTAACACTGAACCCCCGAATGAAAAGAGGAAACCATATCTAGACATATCAAGACAGAGCCCATGAAGAAGCTTCAAACTGTTCCAAGATGTGACAAATCAAAACAGGACTTTTTTGCTTTTGGAAATCATGGACCATCCTCTGTTCTAAAACAGAGATGGTCAACCCAGTTTGTTATCAGCACAAAGTTTAAGAAACAGCATCTGTGCTAGTATGGGGATGCATGAGTTCCCATGGGTGGCTTACGTATCAAAATAGGTACCATCAGTGCAGAGCAATATATTCGGGTTTAAACACAACCGATGCTGCCACCCAGACAACAGCTTTCTCAGGAAAGACCTTCATATTTTAGCCAAAGATGCCAAACTACAGTACATTCTACCATTGCTCTTTAGTCCACGTGCAACTGGCCCGCCTGCAGTCCACATTAGCCACTAGCTGAAAACACTTGGGCCATCTTAAAATGAAAAGTATGACAAAAAAAAATATGAACCGTTGAGCAGCTGAAATCCTTGATCAGGTAACAACGGGACAACATTTCGCTTTCAAAGCTCCTGATATTTTACTACTTGGATCTCCAATGTTCACAGAGTGTTGTTATAGAACAGGTTATGTGTCCCTGTCCCAACAATTGTGGGAAATGTGGTTCTGGCATCAAATATAAAATGAGCACATATTTTTCATAAAACAAAAAAATCTTAGCTCTGGACAGATTTCAATCAAATATTGAAGTCCAATCCAATTGATTTAAAGCATCAGATTATATTTTTAGCAACATAAAATAAAATCAGACTGCACAACAAAAATTTCTAAATGTCCCCTTGAAGTCAACAACATAAATATTTCATGCAGTTTCCACAAACTGCATTTTCAGAAATGTAGTTGCATTAGAGTTGATTGTCAGAAACATTTTGCTGAACCTCCTTTCACATAAAGAAATCTCCATTAAACAAACATCTCATGTTATGAAAAAAATAAAAATCACAAATGTACAGACAATTCACAAAGAGCAAAAAGTATTTGACTTAGCAAACTATTTTGTGAACTGCAGAACAAAACATTTATAGAATAAAAAAAATTCGTTGTTTGAGCTTCATAAAATGTCATTTTTGTGTGTTGTAAAATGTTTTTGAGTGTTGGAAGATATTTTTACAATTGTGTTTGTGTTTCATGAAATATCTTATTCGACAGAATGTTTTTATGCTGTGCAATGTTTTTGGCATTTAACAAAGGTTTTAGTATTTATTCAGTGTTCCTGTGTTTAGTGCAGTGTTTTTCAGGATCATCAAATGTTGATGTTGTTGACCTGGCAACCGTGATGCTTGCCTCTTACTTTATTGTCTTTTTATATCATCTGTCTTGAGTCTATGTCACACTATAACTCATACTGTGTTTCAGGGTCTTAGTAGTTTATCGATTAATATGATATGCAGGTAATGATAATGGGGGGGGGGGGGGTAAGGTAGATACCATGTAAAAGAAGACAGTATTACAGTGCCAGAGTAAATACCACCTTTATAATTAATAAGCACTTTTACACAGACAGGCAGATTTCACTCTGTGGTCCACTAAAGAACCTCAATCTGGACTTCTGGTGAGTAACACTGGCTCTGTATCAGGAGCTATTTCACTTTTGTTGTCAGTAACTTTGCTGAACATTCTCATTGCCAGGATGCATACCGAGCAGTGCAGCATGACTCACCACCCAACCCATCAGACCAATTAAGACAATG